GAGAGATCTCAAAGGAAAATATTTTCTAAAATATTTTTTCTCAAAATTGCTGGAGAGATCTCAAAATTTCTTTCTCAAAACATCTCTGTAAAACTTTCTGAAAGAGATCTCAACACAACTTTCTGTAAAACTTTCTGAAAGAGATCTCATAAACTTTCTGTAAAACTCTTTGTGGCTAATTTTAGCTGTGGGCCCGTGATATGTACTCAAAGGCGCCAATCCGACAGCTCAGGGGAGCGACCCACTAAACATATCGGACTCTCTGAAACTGATAAGCTGATAATTGATAAACTGAGGGAACTTGTTCCCGAGTACATATCACCTGATCTTTCACTTTAAGTATTAGTTCTTTTTATGGTGACGTTTGACTAAAAATATCATTTATTCTGAAACAAAAGTACTGACAAATCTTGACTATGCCAGATAATAAGCATAACTTAATCTAGCAAATAACATAACTCATCACATAATTCACATAGTTCACATAATAGCAAATAGTCTAAAATTATCTATTAAAAATCAACCAGACTTCTTTCTTGCATTTGGTTGGACAAACATGTACAGGTGGTAGTGAACTTACCTGTTAACAGCTGAACTCAAAATACTCAGATAAGTGTGGCACCTTGATAACGTCTTCCGGTAAACTCTTCCTTGAAATCTTTAATGATATATAATAAGATAATTATTGATTTGATGTCTTAAACCATGTGAAATCCCATGTCTCATAAACTAAGGTAAATTAACTAAACCAGTAAGTTAGAGTAAAACTTTTAAAAGAAAATGAACTTGGTTGATTATTACGACTAAAAAAAATAGTAGCAGCAGCCTTCAAGAATTCTTTGTAAACAGTTTTCACCCCATACAGAATGAAGGCTTAACAAAATTAGCTACAGAAAGTGACTACCGATGAAATTGAAAATCAAAATTTTCCTGCGGGTAATGATTTGAAAGCATGAGATCTTAATTAGACAATATTGCATAAGAAAACTTTGCAATAGAGCCATACTAGAAGTTTAGTGAAGGAAGAATTTGATCCGGAAACTTAAATTTCTTGATCAGAAAAATTTGAATCAAGTCCGTACACTTTCACTCTACCGGCGAAAATTATGAACTGATCAATAACTATCAATCTAAGTTACCAACTTTTTTCAAAACTAGCTGTAACTGGAGTAATAACTAAAGATACAGAGCAATGGACCTACAACAGAAACTCAAAACTACTGCTGCACCAGTTGAATTCATGGGTTTACAAAGCATGAAATTTCAATGGAAAACTATAATTGGAAAAGTGACAGTGGAAAGCAGCAAACTTGCAGTTTCGAAAAAAAAGATTTGATCAACTGAAACCTCGAAATCAAATTCAACTAGAGGATACTATCAAACCTAACATTTACTATCGATCAACCCAATCGCTCAACCATAAGAAAACAAATAAGAATGAGGAAGGCAAGGAATCGGACTTACCCGTCAGAAAATTTTTAACGAAGAAACCGGCTGAATAAGGTAGAACGGTAGAAGGCTATGGCGGCCAGCATAACTAAGGAAAGGTCCAATTCATCTAAGTAAAATACGGAGTAAATCGGTGAATGGTTTGGGCCAAAAAAAAAAACATACGGAGTAATTGATTGGGTCTCTGAACTCTGGTTATGTAAAAAAAAAATGTTTATACCGGAGCTATATAAAAAAATAATCCCTTACAAAATAAACTGATTAAACTATACTCTGTAGAGCATTATTTACTTATTATTCATTTATGATTTCTGGAGTTTACCGGTCAACGTTACCTGCCAAGACAACACTCGATCAAACAATAAATCACATTATTCATAAATCAAATTTATTTAACTGATTAAATAAAATGATTACTATAACTAACTCACTAAATCTGGGTGTTACATTTTTTAATGTATAATTTTGCCATCTTAATACATTCAATATCATAAAAATGACATTGCTTTCAAAAAAAGTTTTCGAAAAAATAAACATTAGTTATAGAATTTTCAGATCCAAAATCCTTAAATTGAAATTTTTAAAATAAAAAAAATGAAAATTAATAAATACAAATCAAATTCAGTTTTATTCAATCACCGGATGTTTGTATTGTAATAATAAAAAGTCAGATCTGAAATAACATTTGTCAAAGTTAAAACCTCAAAATAAGAAAAATTAAAAAATCAATAGAAGAAGAAATGAGAGGTTGAAGGAGAAGAAGAAGGGAGAGAAAGAGAAGGCTCAGAAGAAAAAGATATACCTTTGACTGGAGATTGAGTTTAATTTTCCGTTCACACCTGAAATTTATCAGGAACAGTGGATTATTTAAATCTGAAGAAGAAGAGGAACAGTGAAATTGAACAAGTTGAAGAGGAAAGAATACATATAATTAGGATTTAAGAAGGAAGAAGAGAAAAAATGGAGAAAAAGATGTGGGAGACATGTGGGAGATGTGAGTGACGGATGAAAGAAAAAAAGATAAAGATGGAAGAGAAAGGAGAAGGTGGGAGAGATTAGACAGGTGGTGGGTGAGGAGAAAAGGTGTGAGAAGAAAGAGAATAAATCACGGATGTGATGCAACGGAACGAAAAAATATGGTCGAATATAATGTAAGGGCATTTAAGGAAAAAAATCAAAATGGTTGGAACTAGCGGCAGAAAAGTACTCCTGTTTAGAGAAATAAACTTAAGAGCTCCTATTATTGCACATTTCATATGTTTAACTCCCATTAAGGGTAACTTCAGATCAGATTTTCAGTTAATAAATTCTTTAATTGTTTTGATAATAGATATATAAAGTTAAATAATGATATTTTACTTATTATCTTACTTTTAATTTGGGCTATTCTAAGGTGCATAAATTTAGGTTATTCGGATCATTTAGCTCAGCCCACAATTGCTTTCATCTAAATATGCATGTTTCTACTTGAAGTATGTGTCCGGAAGGTGTAAACCCCAAGAAGGCAAAAAGACGAATTTCCATTTGAGTGTGTGGAGATCAAAACAAGTGTCACCTGAAAGAACGAAAGGGTAGAAAGTATACCAACATATTAGCGGGCTAGTCACAGCCCAAAGATTGACAAGAAATACTACCTCCGTGTTTGGGACACTTTGATTTACAATGTTCGACTGACGATAAAATAAACAGATCCCTATCCGCACTCAAATAATTTTTTTAAAAATAAATTACATATTCAAAAACTACATTAAAAACTTTACAAAGTCGCAAAAATCAGAATCAAATTTGGTAAAAATTTGATATATAAAGTTAGAGATTAAAAGTGATTTGTGTTGACTAAGTGAATAGTGTCTGGGACGATCTTAACTAGACGGAGGGAGTAATATTTCCAAATTGGAAGTTAGGAGAAATGGAGGATATTACGCTCATATTTTTTCAGTCACCATGATTCAATGTTTCAACCTAAAAAATTGACAAGTTTAGATCCTGATGTGTCTTTTTCAATTTGCTTTAATTTCCAATGAATCGTGTCTTTTATGCTTTAATTTGCTCCGTTTTCTTCTTTTTCTTAACCGGGTTTGAGGGTGTCGTCGCGTGTTGTTCTTTATGTGTGTATCTTTCCTTGAGTTCTTTTTGAGAAACGCTAGAGAAATGAAATGTGAATTAACATACGTGTGTATATAATGTTGTTTTTAATTTGAGCACGAATTCCAATACATTAAACATACTAGTTTAGTAACGCGCGTTGCGCGTTCGTGGTAATGCCCAAGGCCATTGTAGGAACATTAATTTCTTGGTTTAGATTGAGTAAATATATGAGTAATATGAATACAATATTTGAATACATTGTTTGTTATTTACAAAATTACGAAATAAAATAAAATGAACTTTATGAGGGGAACACAAAAAAATGTGGCAAATTTAATAAACATGTATTAGTCCAATCTTGGAAGCCCTTGACAACTTCATCAGCAAGCGTTTTTACAACAAACTTAGTTTCATCACCATATCTTTTCATTCTTTCCCTTATATGAGACTCCATATTGCTTTGCATCTCATATGATTTTTGAAGAGCTTGCTTTAAACGTTTGAGCAAAATATGCATGAATAATCAATTGTAATACTTATGAGTAGAACCTTAGACACTTGCAAATATGTTATGAGTAAGTCTTTGAAATAAAAATACTTGGACCATGTTTTAATCGATCTTCTGTCAAGTTATTTAATTTCTAAGTTTCTTGAGAGATAATTTGAAATCGGTGTATATGTGGAGTTCTACCACTTTGGATGCCAATGTGGAGTACTGGAGTATGCTAGGGATGTTAGAGTGGTTGATGCTTATAAGCCTCTTACAGTTAGCACTTCAATTTTTTTTAAATCTAATTTTTTTAAATCTAATTACAAATTTAGAGTGTAAATCTAACTAAAACATTTGAGCACTTCAATTTTTTATAAATCTAACTTTAGAATGTTAGATAGTAAATTTGAAAAAAAGTTAACAAATTAACATTATTTATGTGCACTTGAATAAGCCGTAGAACTATTGGTCATATCCGAGGTAATTTGTTAATCCGTCACCCCGTGCAACGCACGGGTAAAAGACTAGTTTAATCAATTAATAAATTTGAGTGCTATCAAACATGGTCTTAAAACACTATGAAGAACTCAATATTCTAATCCATCCATGTAAATAAGGTGTGATACTTTGAGAGTATCTTAAATAGGGAAAATTGATAAGAATAATCCCACATTTCACTGGTATTCTGATAATAATTCCACTTTTACATAATCCCGGAATAATCCCACCTTTGCATCACATCTTCTTTCATTGAACCCTTTTTTTGAAAATCTTATATAAATAATCTCACATTTGTAGGTCATCAATAGGTCAGGGTCCAATGGAAGAAGATGTGGTGCAAATGTGAGATTATTCTTGGATTACGTAAAGGTAAGATTATTATCAGAAGACCAGTGAAAGGTGAGATTATTCTTATCAATTTTTCCTCTTAAATATGATCATAAATAATTTACCCTAAATAGAAATAAAAGTCCTTTGAGTTTATGAAATAAGAATACTCCTACCTACTTTCTTACTTATGTACCTAAACCAATAATAAGCGCCCATTCGACATGACCATAATTAGGGTAGTGTTTCTATACAGAATGAAAAATATTCAATTGTACGTAGTATTTCAAAAAAAAATCAATTGATACTCATTATTTTTCCAGTTCGTAAAGGTAATGACAATTGATACTCTATTTCCACAACTTTCAACATTTATTCAGGCATTATTAAGAGAAAAGCTTTTGGCAGATGAAAATAGAAGCTTTTAGTACAAAAGTGTACAATAAAAACTCATTCGGAGTAAATGAAATTCCGGATGGCAACATACAAATCTTCGGCGCTCCTGGGATCAAACACCTCCACCCCATGATGCCCGGTATTCAGAAACTGCGGCACCACCCTAACCCCGTGCACCCTCAACCACTCCGCCAGCTCCTTCTGCCTATCCACCAGTGGGTCCCCCGCGTATCCTCTCACCAAACTCCTCGGCAGCCGTCCGATCTTCTCCCCCAGATGGGGCCCATCAGTGAACGGGTTAGAAAACCCGTGGTCACGATCCGCCCCCTTCGGCAACGCGAGGGCCCACATCAGGTCGTTCGCGTGCAACGGGAGCACCTTATCGTTGACCAGTCTTCTCTCCGAATAGCTTCTCTGGACCCCACCGAAGTACGGCTGGTTCATTATCAGCCCTTCGATCTTCACCGGAGAGAGATCGGTGTCGAGCGCACGCAATGCCGCGTGGTAGACGATGTTTCCCCCCGCGCTGCTCCCCATCAGGAAAGTTCTAGAGAAGTCCACCAGCTCAGCCATCCACGGATCGCAGTCCCCGCCGCTCGCGGCGGCCACCGCCTGCTCTCGTGCCCACACGAGAGCATCCACGGCGTCCTCGTAGGCGGCGGGGAGCCGGTGCTCCGGGGCGAGACGGTACTCGACGGATGCGACGACGGCGGGGAGCAGAGCCGCCATTTTGTTGCAGGATTCGTGGAAAACAATGGACGCGACGCTGAGAAGTACGAAGCCGCCGCCGTGGAAGTAGATGATCAGAGGGAGCTTGGACGTCGTCGGAGATGAGGAATTTGAATCGGAGGTAGGCGGCGGGGGGCGGAAGAGGCGGATGAAGGTGGCGGAGGAGGGGTTGAGAGGGATGTCTTTGGAGAGTGGAAATTGGGGATCTGATGGGTTGGAGGGTGAGATGGGAACGCCGTCTAGCCTGGTGAGGGATCCATCAGCGTTGGGAACAATCTTCAGGAATTTGTAGGCTTCTTCTTCTTCCTCTTTTTTGTTAGAATCCATGGAGTTTGACGAAGATGATAGATGATCGTCGCTCATATTATAAGAAGCTAGCTAGGATGGGATGGGAGTTAGTTGGATTGATGAGATATTTAATGCAATTATAGGAGTGGCGGCTCATTAAAACACTAGCTCTAGACGAACGATTACTCTCTGCGGCAACCAGTGGCAGTGGCGGCATATTAAGGTTAAGAATTTTGTGTATTTGCTCAAAATTTAATAAAAACAATAAAAGCTAAATACATTAGCACATATTAGTTCATTACATACTGCTTGACTTATATCTATAATCTTGATAGATCAATTATGCGAGTTTTATTTTGTTCAAAATGTTGTATAATAACTTTATGTTGGAAAAACATTACCCTAACCTTTTTCAAGATCACGAGCTCATAGACTCTTGTACATTTATATATCCACACATTCACAATACAAAGACTCGATCTGACAATATCACTTTGTATTATTCTCATTCAATTTTTGTATATGAGACTACTTCACTCTACCTAATTTGATCACATACACTACATACACTACATAGAAAACTCCATCTTATTTTCTTTATTTCTTTCTCCCATTCCCCTTTCTTTCACCGCCAACGACCAGAGCAAGAAACACTATTTATTGGAGTTCGTTGGCTAGCAGCGACGCTCCAATTCGATTTTGAGTAGCTGAGGACGAGATTTGGGGGGCGGTTTACAGTTGGTCGGAATTTCTCATTTTTGGACACCTCCCGCATTTTTCTCAAGCGACTAAGGGGCTCGGCACAAAAATTAAAATATGCAGAGGGGGTCGCCGTGAACAGGCGCACCTCCTCATATTTTTAGTTTAATTTTCCGAGCACCCTCCATTTTTGCGAGTACTGTTCATGCCGACGTGAGTAGCTAGGAAGAAAGGTTGGTGGGGGAAGAAGAACAAGAAGAAAGAGAGGGAGAAAGGGAAAAAGAAAAGGAAAATGAAAATGAAAAAGGAAAAAGAAAAGAAAACATGATGTAGCTTTGCCATGTGTGAACATGTTAGCCCTCGTGTGCGGCCACATGCGCGTCACGTCAGTAGGTAACCTGCTGACTGGCGGGTTACCTGCTAAAAGCCGGTTTTGACGAAAATTACAAAGTAAAAGGACATAATTGACGAAATTTAAAGTACAAGGACATCATTGACTTTCCGTACAGAGTATGAGGGCCAATTTGACACTCTTCTCTAAATAAAATAATGAGGTATTTGCATTAGTGCATATCTATAAAATTTAATTTAATACGGAATAGATTATTGGGAAATTTATTAGAATATGACTAAAACTCAATGAGTTTATCAATCTATGACCTAACTAGTTTTTATACTTATCTATGACCAAAAATCCAAATAAATAAATAAATTCCGTTTGTATTTAAAGGTTAAATGACAAAAATATCCTTATTTAAAATATGTGCATTTTGCACTAATTTAGTCGAATTAAAATTATTGCACTTTATATTGCCGTTAATGCATGACATTAATGCACAGTTTTACTGCACATCCGCTAATAATCACTGCACTTCCACCAAAATTAATTCTCTTCTCATTTACTTGAGGAATTTAGAGTTAGTTTTTGTAGATTTAATAATTCTATTATTTTACGTTGAATTAAATATATTGTAGTTCATGATGATATTACTGCTTTGTGTAACAGCAATACTGGTCATAATCACTGCACAACTAAATTATTAATGCATTCATTCACTAAAGGCCTAAATTCAATGCACATGTTCAATGCCCTCAAACCCTAAAGGCCTAAATTCAACAAACCTTAATCTCAAAAAATAGAAAATTAAGAAGAATGAGATCGGTAACATACTAACATGTCTCCCCAACTCCCCAAGTAGTTAGAGTTTTCCTTAAAGATCAACCTTGGCTTTTTTGCATTGTCATTCAATTCACCCCCCCCCCCCCCCCCTCATAATGAGTAATGCTCTGTCTCAATAGGCACGTGAATAAAAAGAAACACCGTACATCGCAATCCGTTTTGTAAGGTAACACAAATCTAACCCATAAAAAAAATCATAGGTCGGGCGGTTAAATCTTACATGGCCCAAAATAGTTCTACCACTACAACAACAAAAAATAGAATGGCCGCCGCCGCGGTAGGTTAAAAGAGCGTTGCCGTCATCGCCATTCAGTCTTATGGGTATCGCACGGGATAGTGATGCCCATGCCGTGGTCGAACCCGAGCTCCTCTTTGGCGGCGCATCGGAGGAGACACTGGAACTCAGGGTGGCTCAGAAACAAGATTGGCGGCGGTGTGGTTGTACGGCGAGTGGCGGTGGCGTGGCTGTACGGTGAGCGGCGGCGTGGCTGTACGGTGAGCGGCGGTGGCGTTGCTGTACATCGAGCGCGCGGCAACTGTACGGGGGAACTGGGCGGCGGCATAGGAGGGCTTATGTACGCAGGGGGTGTCGCCACTACAAGGTTTAGGGTTAAAAACAATAGGATATTAGGCTTTTATAATAATAGGCCAAGGACATATTAGTCATAAAAAATAATGTATTTAACTATTTATTAATATATTAATTAATTATTACAAATTTTAATTATATTTTGAGAAAAAAACTCATTAGGTCATAGATTGGGAAAGTGATGAAATTTTAGTGATACATAGATTATTCCATTATTTTACATTTTTGTTATTCTATTTAGAATATAATAATGCATTGCGTTAGTCTGAATCAGGGGCGTAGCTGGGATTGAAGGTTGGACTGGGCCGGTACAAAGAATATTTCAGATAATTTTTTTCACATAAATTTTTAGACTAAAAATACAAATAATTTTCAAATTTGGGGCGGGCCGTGGCCCGGTTGGCCACCCCTCTAGCTCCGTCCCTGAGTCTGATCATGAATGTATCCGTCGATTCAATTTTCATTTCAGCTTCACAACCAATAATTCTTAATTCTAAAAGTAATACGGAGTATTTTGATTTGGGATTTAAGGTTAACCGATGGTATAGGTAATTTCATTTCGGTACCATTTATTGTTTTTTCTTGCAATGTATTAAACGTACCGTAAGTTTTTAGAAACACGATTTTGTTAACCAGAAAAAACATCGTTATTTGATTTTTCGGTACCGTTAATCGGTTACGATCTTTCAAACCCCTAATAATTCATTTTAGAATATTCACATTTACTATCATTCCACATTATTACTCATTGACTCGTATTCTAGAGCCTCATTGGAAAATATAAGTTGAGTGACGTGGTACTCACGAGAAACTTGCGTGCAATATAGTTCGAGACGATCGAATAATTAGAAAAAAGTTTTGAACCTTATCTAGCTAGCTACGTACACTAATTTGCTACTTATAAGCATGGCTACCACAAAAAGCATTATCCAAGTTTCTGTTAGCAAAAGAGAGAAGTTGGTGGCACAGTTCAAGTGGTAGATTGCCTGATTGGGGTGAAGGATAAGGATGTTTTCTTTTGGACTGAAATTTGCTGGTCTGGTCTGGTCTGGTCTGTTTAAGTCTGGTCTGGTCTGGTAAACATCTGGTCTCTGTGTATTTTATAACTAAGGAAGTCTGGTTTGGTCTGGTTTGGTCTGTTTAAGTCTAGTCTGGTCTGGTCTGTTTAAGTCTGGTCTGGTCTGGTCTGTTTAAGTCTGGTCTGGTCTAGTCTGGGACTGAAAACATCCTAAGCTGATGAAAGGTTGCTATGTAAAAATGCATATGACTTCTACAGATATCTTTAGGTCAGAGTTTCACTTGTTATATGTTAGTTTGTTATTAAACACTAATTTATATCTTCCAATTGATTGTTCGACCGGTGTTGGGAGACCGTCTGATGAAGTATCATCTATTGAAGAATTAACTGCTACTCTTTCCCTATGTATCTTATAAATTACTATCTCCGTTCTACTAGCATCGAGACACGAGGAGCTGGTGCGGTTATTAAAAAAATTGGATTTATATAATTAATATTGAATTGATAAAGTGGGAACAAAGTAAAAATGATTTGAAAACACAATTTATAGTAGTTTTTTATGAAAAAATATTGAGACCGACTGAATATAAACATTAACGGGACGGAGAGCGTAGTAATTATAGATTGTTTTTTTATACTTAGTGTGTAAATATTTTTATGGAGTAAAATACCCTCAGCTTATTATAAAGCCATAAAGGTATTATCCTCGTTCTTTTAAGTAGATCTGTTTTATTTAAGGGTATGTTTGGCACAATTAGCTGAAAAGATACTTTTGTGAGCTTTTTAGCAACTGTTAGCTTTTAGTGACTGAAAAGATCTTAAAAAGAAAAGGTGATTGCTGTTTGGTGAAAAGTCGACTGTTTGATTTAGTTCGGTTTGGTATAGAAGCTGTTAGGACTAATTAATACTAAAAGTCACGAGCTTTTCTCAGATGCTACACCCGGTAGCATCTCAAAAAAGATCTTTTAATTTTTGAAAAGCTCTTAAAAAATGTCATGTCAAACATATAACTAGAGTCTTTTAAGGTCTTTTTAAAGAAAAGAGAAGCTAGAAGGCAGAGGCTTTTGTGTGCCAAACATGGCCTAAGTAGTTCTATCTAACTTGGTTCTGTACTGTTTTCCTTATAAGCAGTCCAATATGTTGGAATTAAAGACGAGTACCTTAAACCTTTATGCTTTGATGTAATTCATTCATTCAATGTTTACTGGTATCTATAATCGAATAAGATAGATTTTATGATACCTATAAAATATCATATTGCAGTTGAATTATCTAAATCAAAAGTAAAAATGATACGTAGTATAATTATTTGGACCATTAAAATTAATGGTATGTACGATATCTCATTTTTCAAATTTCAAGAGCATCTCAATAAAATAAACACAAGGAATTTGCAATATATATCAATTAGGGAATGGAAAACTGTCAATTTGGTCCTCATACTTTCATGAAAAAAGTCAATTAGATTCTCGTACTTTAAAAAATAAATTAAATCATGTAACTTTGAAAAAACGTTCAATTGAGTACATTTAGAAAATTTCTTGTTATGTCAGCAGGTCACCCGATGATGTGGCGCACATATGGTGATCCACGTGTGCTCCACGTCATTAACAAATGGATGACTGGACTTCCACACATGTGCCACGTCAGCAAAATTATTGTTGAT